GGAACAAGACACGCTGGATTGACATGTCCTTCGGAAGGATATCCAACATCAGACTGACTCGCAGGAGTGAGCTCAGCAGGATCACTCGCAAACGTGAGCCAAGCAGGATGTGACATGTAATACAGGAACATTACAATCAGCGGAAGCAACAGGGTCCGCATGATCCGTAAAGTGTGGCTTGCGGAAGTGAGACCAACAATAGTGACAATCCCAGCAGAAGAGTCCAGCAGGAAATGTGGACCGCAGGAGTGTACCAGCAAGCGTCGCACATTCAGCAGTATACTTTGGATAGTAAAGTTGCATTTTAACAGGAAACAAACCCGCTGGGTCAGCACGTCTCCCAAACGGTGGGGAGTAACCTTAAAGAATAAAAGAGCCAACACCCGAACAAGAACAAACAACAATATAAACCAAATTACAAAATATAACCTCCTCTCAGACACCCTAAACCTATCCTCCTATGCAGCGGCCACATTCTGTGCCGAAACCAAAAAAAATCAAACAAACTCAGCATATCTTCGACAACGACACTGTGTACTGTGTCGAAATCAAAGAACCCAAGCAAATTCGATAGATCCTGGTCACGGCACCATTCTGTGATGGGCACGGGGTGGGGACACCCTACACTCGAGTAAAAAGTAGTAACCCAAAGAGATTTTAAGAATCTCGCGAATTCAAACATAACCTCAACAACTTCGCAATGTTGTCAAGTGTGGCCAAAAACGGTGTGATCATCTAGTCTAGTCGGAAAGGTACCTACGTTGTGTTATTTGAATTCGCTTCTAGATAGGAAGGATGCCAGAGAGAGGATATTAGATTAAGTAATAAAAACACACAAATAATGGTTGTCAGCTTTATATTCATTGTATTTGAATATTAGTTTTAACAATAGGTTTTATCAAACGTTTTGAGATTATTAGTTTCAGTTAGCTTTTTGTCAATTTAGGGGATTTAGATTTACTAGTTTAATGCGGTAGATTTATAAAAATATATATATATTTCCAAGTTTATAGGTTAAAGGGTTTTATTTCCAAGGTTTAATAAATGCAGACTCTTAAGTATTACTAAGCCAAATGTAATATCAAATAAATTTATAATAATGATCATCAGTAACAATATATCAGCTCATTTTGTATAAACAGTCGAAACAGAGATACAATTCAATTTTATACAGCAAAACCTTCATTCTTATTAATACTATTACATGGCGCAATAAATAGAGAAACAGTAATAATATACAATATAATAATCATAATTATGATCTATGATCTATGCATAGAAAATATAGTAAGAATAATAATAATAATAATGATAGAGCAGATAATAATATCAACGTAATAATCAAAATAAGGCATATAGTAATAATAATATGTATGTAATAGTAAAAATAAGGAATATTAAGGTTTAATTTATTTAATATAATGATATCGACTTATGATACAAAATATATGAATTATAACGTCTCCTGAACTAGATAAATAAATATCAGAGGTAAAACCTTAGGAATCCACATTAAAATAATAAACTTGGTCAAAGCTTTACAACCATTTTAAATAATTAATTAAATTGATTAATATAATATTTATATCATACCTTGTATGTTTATATTCAAAAATACCTACAATTTCTTGTTTAAAAAAATCATCAATATCTATATTTTTCAAATTCATTCGCCTACTACCATCAACAACCTTGTTACTCTAGGAGACCATTTTTTATTACCAACTCAAACTAACAATCTTTCACGCTAAGACTCGATATAATTTAAATAAACTTTTAAACGTTTTTAACACAGCTGATTGAATTTTAATTTGTCAATGTCATCTCATTCTGTCAATATGACTTTAACTAAGTGCGTATAGTTGGTTGTCACTTTCTTCCTTACGAGTATCAAAAGCCGGGCCAACACACTACTTTCATTAGTATATTTTATTTAAGAGTTTCAGCATATTTGCTCCGTTCTGGAGAATCACCCATTCAGTATTTTAATATATCACATTCATTACATATATAACTAAACTTATTAGTAAGGTTTTATAAGTAGTTTAGCCCGCCTAAACTACTTATAAAACCTTATTAATAATTGCCTTTTAAAATTTGTTTTAAATTAAACTAAATTTATAAGTAAGCTTTTATGAGTAGCTCAGACAGACTTGGTCAGTGCCTGACCAAAATAAGGCGCGCGCGGCACTGCCAAGCCCGCTTAAACTACTTATAAAACCTAATAAATTTAGTTATACAGGATGACTCATTTGTTTGTGACTCACCCTTGTAAAGTCTTTATTTATTGTGCAATTTTGTTTCAGTGTAGATTTGTTTTAAAGTGTAGATCTTGATAAACTGTATTTTTGGAGCAAAAAACGCCATATTTTTACCAAATGCAAGGCCTATGTCAGTTTTTAAGAGTATAAGGGTCCTGTAGTACATAAACCTTTAAATTCAAATTTGGCGCTATTTTAACCAAAAAAAAAATTTGCTAAAAATAATATTATACACTGAGAGAACGAAATATTTGTTAATAACGTTAACTATTAACAAATCGATGAGTTGGATATGGCGAAAGAAATATTAATTTGGGTCTAAGAACTGGTTAAGTTGAATTAAAGAAGCTTATAACGTATTAGCAAATGTAGATATATTAACTGTTAATATATCGAAGTTCCATTTTGTAAAAAACTACGGCAACGTCACATGCTTGTGCATATTGCATTTAAAATTATGTTGACAAATGTTAAAACGTTTTATTCGAATTTAGTTATATTAACTGTTAATATATCACAGTTCTAAGACAACATTATCCTTTATTTGTCTGAAACACAATCACCGGACGATTTTTTAATAATTAGTATATAATTTGTTCACGATTAAGAAATTTTTTAATAGTTAACATATATTTTAAAAAAATCGCAACTGTTTTGATTTCTTAATATTAAATATTTCCTTTTCTCAGTGTAGTTTTAAGTTATTTTATGTTTTAAAAACCTATTGAGTTCTTCGTATTGGAACGTAGCAATGTTAGTGGGATTTGTTTATGTTTCACATTCTTGCTTGAAGTAGCGGAGATGTTTTAAATAAAGAATTAGGGTAAAAAGGGCAGAAAAATCTAGACTTCAGTTTCATCATGCTCCACACATGCTCAATAGGATTCATATCCGGAGACAAAGGTGGCCAATTCATTCTCTCAATATGGTGGTCCCTTAAATACTCATTTACGATACTGGAGCGGACTGGCATTGTCGTCCACCAACACCAATTATTGGCAACATTTTGAGCATAAGGGACCACGTCGATATCAATAACGCCCAAATCTCTATATCTCTCAGCATTCACTCTTTCCATTCATCGCCATTCCACCCCAAACAGTCACACTTCCACCTCCAAAAGCCACCCAAAGTCTGGCATTGGCATTTTAATCATTTAAAGGAAGAATGGAAGTAACCTGGGTAAGATAGGGATAGGTATGTAGGTAGGTAGGTATAACTTATGCAAAAAAAATTCGAAATTTGTAAAAACACAAGCAAAATTCAAAAATCAAGAAGATCCCTCATAATGCGTTTTGAATGTTTTTCAAGAACTATTGATAAATTAAAGAAAATATTATTTAAATTCTAGAATATCGTAGACCAATTTAATTTAATTTTTACTATTATTATTCCAAATTTTGTTGTGATTTATAAAACTAATTTGCTGCTATTTATTATCACAGTTTGATACATTTAAGCATAGCAAGTAATTTAATCGAATGAATTATTGATATTGGTCTAATTTTGGATTGGCGCTATATTGATCAAAAATTTGATTGTAATACTACCTTAGCGGATTAATCGTATTCAAAATTTCTTTCTGTGCGCATGCATGAAATAATAATAAAGGTCACGGAACGGCGAGCGTTAATGCGATCCGTAACGTTTCGTTCCATCACGATTGTGGGCAAATTTTCGTTAAATGTACATTTGCTGTCCCCAGCTTTTTTTATTTTTATTTTTGACCTTTGTTGATAAGTTTTGTATTTATTATATTTAAATACCCCCTTTCTGTTAGGACCCATCGTATTTTTATTTTTAATTACTTTGTGTTTCTATATATGGCAGAAAAACTAGGTGAAATGTCCTGTAACCTAACTGTCCCCAGAGGCGATTTTTTAATTTAAATTATTATATTCTTCTTTTTTGCAGCTTTCTTCTGAAAAAATAAATTATTTTTGAACAATGGACAGTTCTTTTATTCGTATATAAAAATAAAATTGTTTTCTACAAAGTAGTTTAAACAGAAAAAAATATTAAAGTTGACATTCAAAAATCTTGTCTTTTTCCTAACGTCGTCTTCTATGCCGACTGCTTCGAAATAGATACACGAGATAGAGATACTATCGTGTTATTTCTAGAGGGCATACATGTTTGATAGTTCGGCAACAACAAGTGAGCACGTGTAAAGTGTGTGAATTTTTTTTGTAAATATTTTAAAGGTAAGATTTTTTTGCGTACACTTTTGGTGTCTTTTACAAAACGCTACATACAACTCTTGTTTTAGAAGTTAACTTTTTTATTTTCATTTTGTATTATAGCATAGTAGAAATTCCAAACAAATGCCGAAAGATATTTACATTTAACAGTATTTCTGAAAAATAACGTTTGAAAAAGTCAAAAGCAATGTGTCATAAAACGTTCAGGAAGATGCGTTAGGAGGAGGACAATGTTTCATTTCTTCCTTGTGTTCCTTCCCTATTTCAGATTAACCCTATAAGTTTTATTTCTTTAAAGTTTATTTTTTTTATTTATAAACTTATAAAAAATTTTTGCAGTATATTACACTGTTCTATCACAAAGGAAAAAAAATCGATCAAATTGACCTGCCTGGACAAAATATATATACAAAATGTATATTTATCGAAAATTCGCCCATGTAGTACAATTTTTGTGTATTAAAAAAAAAATTCAGTAAGTAAAATAAGGTTTACAATAAATATCTTTATTCATAAGTTTTTAAAAAAATACAGGGTGCTATCTATGCTCTGTTTTGCTATGATCATGTCCGATATATATAGTATGATCATTATAATAATTCGCTAAATCTGACATTGTAACGTTAAATGTTTCGGGCATAAAAATATATGCATAGACTAAACCAAGTAGGGCTATTATAGCAAAAAAGTATTGTATTTCTACTATACCTCCCAGAAACTCCAGCATGGTGTAGTAATATTGAAGGGATATAAAGTTTAAAAAACAGTTTTCACTCATGCCTATTGCATAACCAACACTACGTATTTCTGTTGGGAACAGTTCGGTCATTATTGTGAATGGAATGGGGGCAAAACCAATGGTTGAGAATGATACAAAGGCTAGTAGGGATACCACTGGTACCCATGTTAAAGTTGTTTTATTTTGCTGGATTAAGGTGGTAAAAAATCCTGAAGTGAACATACATAGTGACATACCCAAGGCACTGATCATTATCAAGGTTCTTCTACGGAATTTCCTCATTAAAGCCGTGCTGACTAAAGACATTACAAATCGTACGATGCCTATGAAAATTGAGGCAACATAGGGATCAATACTGGTACCAGCGGCTTGCATAAACTGTATTGAATAGTACATGATAATATATATGCCACAGAATTGTTGGCAGACATGCAAACCAAAAAAAAATATTATTGGTTTGTATCCAGTTGGTTTTAAGAATGCTTTTACAGTGGATAAGGCAACTTTATCACCTTTTTTCTCATTCCCATTATCACGTTTATTTTGCTCATTCTCTAGCAACTTCATCTGCAACTCCGAGTAAGTCTCTGATCTGCTTTGAGGTTGAGGTTGATACTTGGCTAACCAATCCAACGATTTTTTAGCTTCACCATATTTTCTCTTCCAAAACAACCAAGGAGGGCTCTCAGGTACAAAAAAGCATAAAATTGCTGGTACTATGCATGATATATTACCAATCCATGCTATTACACGCCAATCCAGATACATACCAAAAAAATACGTCAAAACTAAACCTGTAGAAACCAAAGGTATTCCCATTGACATCAAGGATCCTCGTAGACTTGGACTAGCTATTTCCGATATATAAACAATTGCTGGGTTTGTTCCACAAGCTGAAATTGATAATAGTAAAATCATGATTTTTGTTTTAAAACTCGTATTTTTACCTAAAGAGAATCCAAGTAATAATCTACCAATAATGATTAAAGGTATATTATTGGCCAACGCTATCATACTCCAACCCAAAACACCCGGTATAGCAGCAACTATGATTGTTTTTAATCTTCCTATACTATCCATCAATAAACTACATATTATGGACGCCACTGGTACTACAACTACCAAAATGCTGGCAATCCACGATTTTTCGGACGTGGTAGCCTTAATTTCACTTTCCGGTAATTCCAATTGTGCTATCAATACAGCTGAATATGCCATACCCATGCCGCTGCTTAAATGGAATGATACTGCCGCCAGGGCGGCGCAAATCTAAAACATATTTTAATTTTTGAAATCTACTTAAAAAATTGTGAAAAGTGAGTACCAACAAGCCATACTTTAAGGGTATGTAACAGTGTGTTACAGAAAATGTAACACGGTTAGTATACGAGTAAAGTAGGGGTTGTGGGTACTCATTTTTTGTGTGGAATCTATACCTGAGTTCAATTTAAAACAGTTTTAAGATAATTTTAGATATACGTTCAAGTTTAAGAACGGGTTAACAATGTTTAAGAACAATTTTTATAGCATTTTTTAAGAAAAATTAGGATAGTTTGTAGTTTTATGTTTGTTTATGAACAATTTAAAACAGTTAAATACACATAACTATTAGGTTATGTAACAGGGTGTTACAGAAAGTGTTAGTTTGGAGGAAAGTAGGGGTTGTGGGATTTGGAGTGTTTTTGGCGCATTAAGAGTAAAATTTTAGCAGGCAAAGGAAGTGACGTAACAGCCTAACACTGTCCTGCAGAAAACATGAAACACTTTTAAAAGTATCACGAGAGTAACAGTGTGTTACAGAAAATGTAACACGGTTATTATACGAGTGAAGTAGGGGTTGTGGGTACTCATTTTTTGTGTGGAATCTATACCTGAGTTAAATTTAAAACAATTTTAAGATAATTTTAGAAATACGTTCAAATTTAAGAACGTTTTAACAATGTTTAAGTACAATTTTTATAGCATTTAAAAAAACAATTGGGATAGTTTATAGTTTCATGTTTGTTTATGAACAATTTAAAACAGTTAAATACACAGAACCTATTAAGTTATGTAACAGAGTGTTACAGAAAGTGGAAGTTTTGAGGAAAGTAGGGGTTGTGGGTACCCATTTTAATGAATTTGGAGTGACGTAACATCAGAAAATATAAAACACTTTTAAACGTATCAGGAGAGTATCAAGTCGCGTAGCGTTGATGTGTGCCTGGTCTGTAACATCCATCCTACGGCCGAGGGGAAATTAAGCGTCAGGCGTAACGCGTAAGATGTGTAGATGTGCGTGCGGATCAAACGAAATTGGACTTGTCTAATTGTAATTAAAACTGCCCGTACAATAAATTTATTTTAAACCGGGTAATTGAAAATTGCGCATTAAAATTAATGTTTCGGGTAAATGAAATCTGCCCGAAATCGAAAATATTGCGTAATTGAAAACTGCCCTTACATGCATAAATTTAAAAAATTGTAGGACGCATCCACCCAGTAGTTTTAAATTAAAAATTGTAGGGTATATTCGCACAGTAGGATATATTTAAACAATTGTAGGACACATTCGCACAGTGGCATATATTTAAAAATTGTAGGACAAATTTGGACAGTAGGATAAATTTAAAAAATGGTGGGACAAAAAAACAAAATTCGCACAGTGGAATTAATTTTAAAAATGGAAGGGTATTAGCACAGTAGAATTCATTTAAAAAATAGTGGGACAAATTCGCAGTGGTATAAATTTAAAAAATAGTACCTAGAAAAGTTTTGTATAAAACGTTATTAATGATATTAAATGCTATTAATAATAAAAAAAATTTAAAAAGTTCCTAAATTTTTACATTTTTGAAAATTTTTATATTTTCCAAAATATTCATTCAAACTTATATTTTAAAATTTTCATGCGGAGCAATTTTTTTTTGTTACGCCAAAGAAGTTAACTTCTAACGCGCGTACTTATGAACGTGCGTAAGTAGTTATACTTCTTACACGCACAATTTTTTGTGAAGAATGCGTACCTCTGGTAGATGACTTTTAATTTTCTTCCCTTCATATCGACTTATTGAAATTGTGCTGACAAGGTTATAATCTTCGTCTTTTTTAATGGTTATGCTGGGGTCTACGCCGAATAAACTTACGCAGCTAGCTCTATAACGGGTTTTAGAGTATATTACAATAAAAAAAAATATTACTACTAAACTTACCCTATATTTTTCATTTTAACGTGCATTTATTGTATTTTGCACGTGTAATCTATACGAGTGTTAGTGTCATTATGTTGCCTTGGTGTCGAGTACTATACAGGATTAATCGGTTTTATCTATTCAAACACATGATTTAAAAAATGTGATTGCTTTATTTACGTTATAAAAATTAATTAATTGTTACATTATATTACTATCTTATTATTATTGCTGTTTGACTCATTCTTGTTGGCTTCTTGGTGACCTATATGCATTGTCCGATGTTCATAGTACTTTGTTATGTCTGCTAGTTTAACATTGAAAGTTTCTGGTAGAAAAATGAAAGAATATACTAGACCACCAAGAGATATGACTGAAAAAAACCATTGTAGATGTGTGGCACCTCCGAAGAAGCTTAGAAGTGTAAAGTAAGATTGCAAGGCACTAAACATGAACATACTAAAAATAATGTAGCCTATATTGTATCCCATGCCACGGATTTCTAAGGGGAAGAGTTCTGCCAAAAGCATGTTGGGTATTGGAAGTAAACCGACAATAGAAAATACTACATATAGGAGTATACAAGCTACTGGCACCCAAGTATATGTAGTGGTTTTATCCTGTATCCACTTGGTGAATAAACCCGATAGGAACATACATATTGACATACCAATTGTACTGCAGAATATCAGAGATCTCCTGTTAAATTTAGACAACAAGGCTGTACTCACCAAAGACATGATCAGTCTTACAAATCCTATCAAAATGGAAGCTATATAGGGATCAATACTAGTCCCTGCAGCTTCTATGAATTGTATTGAATAAAACATTGTGATGAATATACCCGAAAAATGTTGAAACAAGAATATCCCGACGAAAAACAGCAAAGGTTTATAACCAGTGGGCTTTAAAAATTCTTTAAACTTCCTTATACTATTGCTACTATCTTGTTCTTTCCTCTTTAAATCTTGCTCGCGTTTCAATTGTTCAAACTGCACATCAGCGTAGCTTCTATTGTCCAGCTCTGGTTGATTCTTGCAAAAATATTTTAGGGCTTTCTTGGCAGATTCATCTTTTCGTTTCCATATCAACCATGTTGGACTTTCCGGAATTAAAAAGCATAATAGGCATGGCACCACGACAAATACGTTACATATCCATGCCAGTGTTCGCCAATCCATAATCCACCCCAAAAAATATGTAAGGCACATACCGAGTGATACATATACAGGTGTAATTGACATCAAAGTCCCCCTTATATCAGTACTTGCAATCTCTGTGATATAAACAATACCAGGACTTGTACCCCAAGCTAAAAAAACATGTTTTTAAAATTACCTTAGATATGTTTAAAAATGCAATTTTTGAAACAAAAAATCAAAACGTACCCGATGAAATTCCTATAAGAAGTCGTCCAACAATAATCACAGGTATATTATTAGCCAAGGCTATCATAATCCAACCAATTATACCCGGTAAACCAGCGATTTTAATGGTATTCAACCGGCCGATACTGTCCATAAGCAGCCCGCATATCGCCGACGCCACTGGTATGACTATTATCAGAACACTAGCTAAAATGAATTTGGATAAAAAATAAGGGATATATCAATGTTTCTAGTTTTGGTCTAGTCGCTTTTGGAATATAGTTTTTTGGTTATATCTTGGTTATTTTTGCAGCAAAGTATATCGAATTGGTTATATATTTACAAACAAATAGTTCAAATTTTTTCAAATAACCTCAAAACTTGACATTTATTTATTACTCTATTACTCGATATTACTCTTTAAACATATGTGAAATAAAATTTACAAAATTACGAACCTATCCATGACTTTTGCGTTGTGCTGGGTCTTAGGTTCTCGTCTGTTCCTTTATCTAATTGGGATATTAATACTGCTGAGTAGGCTAAAGAGATGCCGTTGCCAATATGGAACGAGGCTGCAAAAAGAGAGGCGCAAATCTGTGGCCATCTTCCATTAAATGTTTTTTTTTCATGACTGCTTAATGTTAACGTGCTGCCACCTAGTAAATTGTCATTTTCTGGCTGTCCATTATTATCTACAATTCTAAAAATTATAAAGATTTTTTATTTTTTTATTGGATATTGTTCAATTCTTACTTTAAACTAAGACAGCTTGCCCTAAAACATAAAACAATATTTTAGACTCTTATTTACCTAAAAAAAATAATATTTTTTACCCAATTGTTTCCATATTGTACAAATAGTGCAATTTCAATCCAATACTAATTTTCAAATAACTTTAGTAGCTATAATGATTACATTACTGATAAAAGGTTTAATATTAATATCAATTATTATACAAGGATTTGAATATGAAAAAAACGTAATATGTACTTGATATCGTTTAATAATATGACGTAATTTTTATAGCACGTTTTTACTGATTATATTGTTATACAGGGTTTCGATTATGTTCCTTATAATATAATACCCTGTAGACTTGGTCTACTAGTATGGTCTATTAATTCACCTTATTTTTTAGCCTTTTTGGACATTTAATAATGGATAACTTACTAGCGTCTTGACACTACAAAGAAACTAAACTTTAATAGAAATTATTTAGGATTTTACTTCATTATTGGCAAAATGGCAAATTTAGAAAAATTAAGTTATTATAAACTTGCCCATGTTAAATTACAAAAAAAGTTACTGGAAAAATTTTAGTTTTGCCATGACAATCATTTTCAATATGAAGTTTAGGATGTTATAACCTTACTTAAGTTGCTTAATTTAAGTTAATTATTATGTGTTAAGTTTGACGAATTTAATTTAGTCACGAGCGAGCTTGCGAGCTAGTGCTTAATTAAATGAATATCTTGAACATTTTATAAACGAGTTGCATACTTTACTTTTTCTACGACAAATACTTATTATAATCTAAAAATGATTTACATTAAATATTTGTATACAGCGACATCTATACAAAAATAGTAACCAACTTGGGAATCTGTATTACCGCACTAAAGGTGAAAATGTCAAATTTTTATGTGAAATGTATCCCTTGAAAATGGACCGTTTAATCCAAAATAGAAACAGTTTATCACATTGAGAAATAGTTTATGGACACTCCACGGTGGAGTCTCCACCCGAAATTAAGTTAAATATAGTTTACTTCCGGCAAAATTAAAAGGTCCAAAGGTTCAATGTTCATATAAACAATTGTGACATTTGACTACTATCAACTAACTTAAAACTTTCTTTAGCCTGTGACTAAAACATGTTTCTAACTTCAGTCCGTGACTAAAAGGCCATAAAGTCACAACTTGTCAATGTGTATTTAAAAGGTCACTTAGTGTCATGGAAACATGTACGATAATGAGCGTTTTAAAAGTGGGAGTAGAAAAAATACATTGTTTACTACTATTAGTCCAGTCAAACCGTGGCGTCATGTATTTGAAAAGCTTAAAACCAAATTTGCACTACCTGACAACTGAAGAAATACACAAAAACACATTTTTAGTGAATATGTCGACCTTCGTATGTTGCGCAATAAAAAGTAATAATAGAATTATTTTTATTAAAATTTACAATAATTTTTGTTTAAAGTATTTTTTTTTAAACAAATAAGTAAAAAAAAAGTTAAAGTAAAAAATTTACAATAATTTTTGTTTAAAGTATTTTTTTTAAACAAATAAGTAAAAAAAAAGTTAAAGTAAAAAATTTGGTTTTGTCTTGTTTTGCTATTTACGGTAAATTATTACGATACAGATTTTGTAGCCCTCTTAATATCTAAAATATAAAAAAAAGTTTCAACCTGGCTTTTTTATATGCTTGCATCCACAACAAGGTCTGTTTTATCTCATACTAAAAATACTAAAAATCACTGCAACACTGCACATCATTTAATGGCGGTCATTTTTGTTGTTTACAATTCTTGTGCTTTGGGTTTGTTTACAGATTAATAATTGTTTTAAACGTTGTGTTTCTTACAGAGAGACTTGCAAGCCTTAAAAGAGACCTCAAGTGGTAAGAACAATCATTTTACTCCTCTTTTGTAAAAAATAAACCTTATTCTAGGGCTGTCATTAATTTTCAACCCCTAGTGAGCAGCATGTATATTGGTCAAGCGGCTCAACTGGCAAAGAGTTTCAAGTCGCCTAGGTGTTTTCAAGTTTTACGGTATAGGTTGACTGATTTTTCTTCAGTGGTAGTGTCGCTTTAACGTCATATAGAAACCATGGTTGGAATATCATTAATATCATCATTATCCACTTTGTTGGAACATTTTAACCCTGCCTTTTTACACCAGAACGAAATTATGTAAAAAGTAATGATGGGACTGTCCCTCCTCATCACAGGCTCAAGTTTCCTCTTTTGGAACTAAAACAATCCTCACCTAATAAAATGTTGTTCAGATGTTCAGCCGGTGATTCTGTGGATGGATGTGAATTCGTTCAGCTTTTTAAATCAAAGAAACCTGGCTACAATAATATTGCATCAATAGGGTAAAACGAAGCAACAGCACATAAGTAAATCCTTTTAGACTGTGATTATAATATTATAAAAGATATTATCTCAGGAAAGACAATCCCATCCTCACTTATTGTACTGTATTATAATTACGAGAAAAAAAAGTGATTTGGAAATAAAAAGCACTTTATCTGAACCAATTTTATTACAAAAATAAAGAAAAATGTTTTTAACAAATTTTCTAGAGAAAGATTACAAAAAATGTGAATTTCTCTAAGAATAAAGTAGAATAAATTAAAATATAGGAAAAAATAATAGGTTTTTGTTAATTTAATAAATTATTGTGGAGGCTGGTGGATTTTGGGCACACCCATATCTCAGTTATTAGACATGGTACCCACATCAAATTTATAATATATTAACTCATATTATGAGTTTATAATGACATTCCCATTACTCTAAAACTACTTCCACTAGTTGTTTAAACGGGCTCTAATTAGGGTTGGGACAGTTGAAATTTTCAAATAAAAATTTCAACTTTGAAAGTTTCAAACTTGAAATATTTCATTTAGTTGGAAAAGTGAAATTTTTAAAAATTTCAAATGAAATTTTCAATCCGAAAATTTCAACATTGCCTGTGAAAGTTTCAGAAATTTCATTGAAAGTTTCGCAATTTACTGAAAATTTCGCATAAATTTCACGGCCTCCCCTGGGACCTTTAATTATAATTTACAACAGATTCCGAATCGACCAATAAAAACGAGTTATCAAGCGTCTGGGCGTTTTTGTTTAGTTCGGCTTGGATTTGAATACACTATAAGTAATTATTGTTACTTATATAATAAATTAAATAATTTAATTCAGTTACCAATTTAATTTGTAAATTAAATCATACTTTAAAATTTTTTTTAAAGTCATGATTAATTTAAACTTTTAATTTTGCTATAATTGCATCGGAAAACGGATAAAAAATGCCTTTGGCTCATAAAATTTTGATTAAGTTTCTTCAATTTAAAAAAAAATAAAATTTCAGTAAAATATTTAAAAATAATAAATATATATAAATATAAACCAATGAAAGTGGCACAATCTCATTAGCTTACCAAAAAGTGCTATATCTCTTTTAGTTTTAGTAATTTTAAAAATATTTTAAAAGGAAATCTCAAGAAATTTGTGGTAAACATAGGTATTTACTATTTATATTATTGGTGCAGGGGCCCACAGAGGGGTAGGAGGTAAGAGAGGCAATTTGCCATGGTCCCCGAGTGGGCTTATTTCAATTAATATATTACACTTAAAGTGATTGAAATTTATTGAAAGTTTCTATAAATTTCATAAATTTCATGAAATTTTAGAAATTTAGGAAATTTTAATAAATTTCATAAATGTCATGAAAATTTCAAGTGAAATTTCAAGTACAAGCAAAAAGTGAAATTTTCCCAACCCTAGCTCTAATCCTTGTTTTAACCTTATCCCTTAAGTTCTCAGTTGGATTAAAATCCGGTGAACAAGAAGGCCACTTTAAAACAGTCACACTTTCCATTTCTCAACAGTTTTAACAACTCTGCTTATCAGCGGTGGTAGGTACATTATCCGGTATAAATTTAAAAAAATCGCAGAACACAGTTAAGGGCTAAAAATATTAGTGCAAAATAAAGTTGCCATTTAAATTGGTATTTAAAGCATTAAGACTGTACAATTGAAGATTAGATAAATGTCTTATTTTTGGATAAATCCAGAATTGTCCTACTATCAGACGAAAGGTGAATTTGTATTTTAAGGTCGTGGGAAACAAGCTAAACTATGAGCTGGACGATCGATCCTTTGAGGCAAAGGACTGTCTAAAAATGAATTAGTCAAAAATAACTAATTGTCATAGCGAAAAAGCAGCCACAATAATTCTCGTCAATAGCAATTTGTACCCCGAACATTTAGCAGTCAATTTTCATGTACAATTGTCTCCTGAATCCGAAAATGTCGTCAAAAGTTGGAAAAGTTAAACAGTTTTTAAGATAAATTCAATTTTCTATATTTCAAAAACTGCTCTACTTCCATAATCTTTTGCATTATTTTCGGATTCAGGGAACAATTTTTTATAGAAATTGGCTATTAAATGGATACCATGGTATCCTATGGTTAACCATGGTATAGTAAGACACTAATAACTGTTATTATTGACTAATTTATTTTTAGAGAGGAGGAAGTGTATTGTTTTGGGGCGGCTGTATGATTGGTGAAAACATTCCTTTGATTCCCATTAGAGGTCCTAGGTATGTGGATTTAGTTTTACAACCCGTAGTAAGGGATGTAGTATTTGGGATAATGCACCTTCATTTACCAGCAGAGTTGTCAAAAATGTTTGAAATGAGAGGTGTGACTGTTTTAGAGTGGCCTTCTTGTTCACCGGATCTTAATCGGATTGAAAACTTATGGAATAAGGTTAAAAGAAGGATTATAGCTCGTCAGCACTGGCAGTACAAAAAAGTAATAAAAGCAGTTGTAGAGAGGTGCGGAAATGTTACCCAAGAAGAAATTCATTACTTAAAACTAACTCGTCGAATTAATGCTTGCATTAATGCATACTGAATACTGATGATTTAATTAACAAAAACCAAATATTTTTTCTTAAATTTACCGTAAAGTTTATTCTCAGAGATATTCACATTTTTTGTTATTTGTTCAATAAAAAAATTGTTTTAATATTTTTTATCTTTTTTGTAATAAAATTGGTTAGGAGGTGATTTTTATTTTTATTTCATTTTTTTTTAAGTAAAAAATGTT